TTCTACTTTATAATTTTCACCACTGATCGGCCCGTTAGCCACTTGTGGAGATCGGTCACATCTCTGTTATGCACTGTTGGCAAGTACTCAGGCAGACACCGGCTCCTGAGCACCTGAACCTGCTCCAGTGTTGGCTCAAGTTCTTGAAACAGCTCACACTCGGTGCTGCCACAACATTCTCAATGTTCAACAGTTCACAACTCTCACCCGAAAAAGTTGCCCTCACAGTTTTCTGACCTGTGGCTTTCTTCAACCTTGAGCTGTGACCCCTGGGGCGAGCGTCCATCAGCTCCAGGGAATATACATTCGGCTATAAGAATAAGAATACACCCATGTCTGTGTTTGAGACAAAATATCTGGTAACACTGTCCTGAACAGAACGGACAAATATTACAAAATGACCTGTAATTTATGTTTTATTCCTACATATATGTTATAAATACATTTATTGTGAATGTTTTACTAGTGTCTTGTGTTTATATTACAAGTAATATTGTATTCAATGGTGGAAAACTTTGTTGCCCAATAGGATTGCAGTTATCGTACGGCCCCTGCCCTCCCCCACTTTTTCTTACTCTACTTTTTTTTTGACTGACTTATATATATATATATATACAGAGAACGCTGTAGTGAATTCTCACAAACGCTGTTTGTCGCTGCCCAGCAGACCCAACCAATTCCAGTATATACCTCGTGGTTCAGTCAACCAGCGCCGCATAACTTACCACGGAGCGGGGGTCACTGCTGCCATTTACCCCCCGCTATTTAAGACCTGACCTCGTGGTGATCTGTCTCCTTCACCTACACCAACCAGCCAGCAACACCTCCGCTGCTGCCTGGCGGCCTGCCTCCGCCTGCCTGGCGGTCCTCTCCCGCTGGCGAGCAGGCGACCCACAAGCTGTCTCTGAGCGTCTCACCAACCAGCTTCTCTCTACATCACGCTTGTAACCATGCTGCCTTCCCAGCACCGCTGCATTTGTACATCCAATACAACATGTATATAGAGAGCACATCGTGAGTTTCCTTTCTCCATTCCATCCTGAGTGTGAACCCAAACATCTCATACCCCACAACGCCATTGTCCATTGTGAGTTTCACTTCTCACCTCCATCCTTAGTGCGAGATCTCCTACGTGTACGTATGTACAGTATGTGAGCCTATCAAAGAGAAGATAGACAAACTGGCCACATACAGTACTCCACACTACTGCCAAATACAACCTTCAAAATACAGCCACTAGACCAAGAAATCACGAATGTAAAGTTTGTGCTACAAATATGTCCATGACAAGATGAGGAAGGAAACTGATAAGCAAGAAGTGAAGAAAATTGATGAAACTGTAAGCAGGAGGAGGAGGAGGATCTCCTCCCTCCCCTCATTGCCTCCTGCTGCTCTGCCTGTCTCACCCACAGCCTCCGCCTCCACCTCCACCTGGCTCACCTGCAACCCCGCCACCTCTGCTCCACCTGGACGTACCTTCCAACCTCCACTAAAGACTGTTACTGCCTTTGAAAAATATAACATTCAGGCAGTCAATTTCTGTGAGGCTGGGGGAAATACTAAAAAGCAACTGTTAGGCATGCCTGGTCGGCACTCCTGCCACAACTCAAGTCTGCTGAGACGAAGAGACAGCAGCCAGCAGAGCCACGAACCAAGTGTTAGAAACTGCCCGCAGTATCCCAGCCCCAGGATTTCAAGAAGTGACTCAAGAAGTAGAAGAACTGATGGAAGGTAACACAAATGAAGCCGAGACTTGAGGATGAAGAAGGTGGTGATGCAGCAAGGATGCAGGGGAGACTGACAGAGGAAAGTGACGACACAGAAGCTGTCACTCTTATTGGGTGTCTGTACCAGCTCAAGAGATGATCCAAGACTTTGAGAGTGAATCAGGTGAAAGGGAGCAAATGATTGATTAGAATCTATTTCAAGAAAATACCAGAAGCAGTACAACGAGCGAGTGAATGCCCGGCAGCAGTCACCTGTCACTTCCGCTTTCTTTCACAACGCCAGCCAGCCGAGGAAGACTAACATTGGGAAATGCTTGAAGACTTTGACCTTGGGGTTTGATGAAGTGTTAGCAGAAGTGGGCAGAATCGTGCGAGGCCAGCTTGGGACGGAGATGGGGCTGATAAGTGAGGTTCGACGCTGTAGCCTCCATGCCCCGGCCTTCGAACAATTCTGTCACACCAAGCACCTCAAAACTCCCCAAGCTAAGTATATACATCTAAATTTTATTTTGATGATTGAATAAAAATTATTTTAATTTCTACTAACAAAGTGTTAGGCAGGCCTTCAAAGGGGAAAAATGGGTGAAATTCTTGGGGTAGGCAGCAATAAACCCTTTTTACATGTATTTTAATGTCACACAAATAACGTGTTGGCTAATAACAGTGTTTTTCAGGCACCTATTAGACGTTATTGGCGAGAGCCCACTGTACATTACTTACAGGTTTTGTAGTATAATTTTTTCAGAGTTGTTTAATAATTAAACTCCTGTTTCCACATTCACTCAGTTAATAAACAATTGTTATTGTCTCCATCCATTATAGTTTGAGGTCATTCATGTGACATAGAACCACTGATAGATCGTATCTTATCCAGTTACTAGGTCAATTTTTCTCTTATTCCATCTCTACTGTACTGCATATATTGTACTGTACTGTATAAACATATTGTAATGAACTGTACTGTATATACTGTCCTGTAAATGTATATACTGTACTGTACTACATATACTGTTCTGTACTGCATATACTGTACTTGTACTATATAATGTAAAAGTACTGTATACATTGTAATACATTGTATATATTTTAATTTTAAAATAAGTGTTTTAATTGTACTGTATATATCAGGCTATTATACTGTACATATATCTCATAAATAACTATATACTGTACTGTACTCTATATACTTGTACTGTATATACTAAATGTAATAGTTATACTGTATATACTGTACAGTATATACTGTATATATTGTACTGTATATACTATACACTGCATTGTATATATTGTACTTTATATACTGCACTGTACTGTATATATTTACTGCATGTATATATACTTGTATATACTGTATATACTGTACTATATTGTATATACTATACTGTACTGTATATACTGTACAGTACTGTTTATACTGCACTGTACTGTACTGTATATACTGTACTGTACTGTATATATTAATTGCATTGTATATATTGTACTGTACTGTATATACTGTATGTATATATATTGTATATACTGTACTGTAATAGGTATACTATACTGTATTGTATATACTGTATAAAATTGTTTATATTGCACTGTACTGTACTGTATATACTGTACTTGTACTGTATATAATTGCAATTGTATATGTTGAACTGTACTGTATATACTGTAATTGTACTGTATATACTGTGCCTGTACTGGGTATACTTTACTGAACTGTATAGACTGTACTGTATAGATTAGAACTGTGTATATACTGTAATTGCAATGGTACTGAATATACTGTACTGTATATACTGTACTGTAATACATATACTGTATTGTACTCATATAATTGTACTGTATATAATGTAATTCTACTGTAATTGTATATAATTTCAATGTACGTATATAATGCCATTAATCATATATGCAATTGTTGCCATTTTGCGAGCCTACTGTATATTCCATCAAGGGGGTGTAGTCCTGGATTGTGACAATGAGTTCTGCTTCCTTAGAGACTTTATCTGTATTGGTGGTGGTGCTAAGCTAGCTCATTTGATTTCAAGAGTCAGAAGGGGCTGCAAGAAGTTTAGGGAGCTGTTGCCTTTAATGTATTGGTATTAACCCCTTGTGCACAGGAGTCTCTGTGTAGAATAAAATCATGTGGCATTAGTCACATAAAATATTAAAAGTGGTGTTCCCATGTTGTTGTATAGCAGGGAAACTGGAGCAGCAAAAGAGGATTACGTACTTAGACTGGACCGAACTAAAATGAGAGTGGTGAGGTGGATGTGTAATGTGATGTCAAGAGATGGAAAACCCTTCATAGTTATGCTGTGGTCACACTAGAGTTTCTACCCAAAATAAATCCACCAGTGTTGATTTTTCAGTGAACTCTCAAGTTGTCTCTACAGCGACAACTTATTGAAAGTGGGACGATACAGAGCGTCTGAAAATTCACGGTGCGGTGGGTTGACATTTGCTATAGAGTCTATTGTATTAGTAACATTTACACAGTTCTTATTTTTTCTTATTAATGTTAAAATGTACAAAAAATATAAAAACTGTATTTCAATAACAAAACACGAGCAAAAATGTCATAGTAAATAAAAAATAATAATAACTATACATCATGACGAGAATTTGATGTGACTCGAGAGTACTTGCGTTACTTTTGTAAACAAACATCGCTTAGATGCTACACACACACACACACCAAATTTACATGGATACTGCTAGTATTCCTCGGGGCAGAGTCTCAAATTGCAGTTAATGCTGCCATAGAAACATACAATGAAACCATCCTGCTCTCCAACTGAGCTCAAACTAGCCGTGCGAGCTGGATCTCTGGCTAACGGTTCCTTTCACCAGTGTGACCAGTGTGCGGATCGTACAGTTGACTTATTGGCTGTGGGTGAAATGCTGTCATGGATTTATTGCACGGAAAACTTTAGTGTGACGGGAGCTTTAAAAGAGCAGCTGAATATCGAGAGTTTTCATGAAGTTTTGCGTAGAGGTTGGACAAGATGGTATGGAAATAAACAGTTGACAAACCTATGTCGGGGTAATGAGTATTGTTGTCAGACTTGTTAGGGGTAATTGCTAAAACTAATTGGGAACCACTGCTTTAAAGGGTTAATTGAAATAGATTGGTTTTTAAAGATATGGTGATGGTTTCCAATGTTAGGGAAAAATTATATGTGTCATTCCAATACAACAGTGGTAAAAGGCATTACTGTACTTAATACTGTTGATCATTATGAGTGATCTACTGTTAGCTCAGGTACTAAGTGAATAATCGAGCATTTACATATTTTTTATTAGATATAAAAATAATAGATTAAGTGTTGGAATATTTACACTGGTACATTCATAGTCACTGATCACATTCTAAACTGACACCTCAGTCTGTATACTTTAGGTACATCTGTAAGATAAAACATCGGGGTATAACTGTATTACATCTGCAACATAAACGCTGGCATCAGTACTTTATTAAACTAAATGTATCTGGTACAGTGTCCCCCTCACACCCTTCATCACTAACTGCCCATATGTCTAATACCTGTACTTAACAATCTGCTACACTTTTCTTGATCTCCCTGAAAATTCATGTTAATGGTTCTAATGGTGACATTATTTTTCTGTTGTTCAGGAGTGGCAGAAGTGATGTAACGATCATACTAAGAAACAAGGTGCAGTTGGCAGAACTGAAGGTCATTATGGGAAGATGATGGCAGCATTACTAGCAATATACTCAGGATAGAAATATAATGAACTACAGTGACAACTAGAACCAACTGCAACAGTGGTTTACACACAAAAATCTTGATGGTAAGGAATTATCAGTAGTGGAATTGATCTTAAAACTCCATTATAATAGGAAAGCCTAAACATAAATACATCAACATTTGTTTATTGCAACGCATTCTTGGCCAAACCCAGGGCTGTGTTTTTTTTTTGTTTTTTTTAAGGTGTCTGTAATTTTATACAGTATGTTAAAAGTTTTCTGCAGGGAAATTCAAGCCAAAGGCTAGTTTGATTAGAAGGTAAGTTACCACAAGTATGAACCCTCACTTGCTGATCAGAAATACCAACAGCCTTGATATTTAATGCAGCTACCATGGCAGTAAACTGTTGTACTGCACCCCAAAGCTACAGCCTATTATATAAGGTAGTATAGTATCATTTTGTCAGTTCTTGAATCCATTTCATCATGTAGTACATGTGCTTGACAAACTTTTAATTTAAACCTTACAGAGGCCGACATATGCTGTTCTTTATAGTCATGGGTTTTATTGTAGTTTTTCTTATTCTTAGTGTTTCTAAATGTAAATTGAAAAAAAAAAAAATCATGCTACATACTGTACTGTATACATATTTATTATGCTGCACTACAGACTTGATTGAAGTGATGCTTGGTGGTTCATTCCATACAACAAGAATCACACAAATATATATACAGTAGAATGATTCTAATATTTTTCCATACTTATATATAAAAATGCTTAGAATAAAAAAAAATACATCAAAACCACAGAGAACACCAATGTTTGGGTGATTCATGCTGCCACTGATCTTGAATCCAAACTCTGAACAATCACCCATGTTATCCATCACCTTTCTCTGCCCTTTGTTGTTCTTGCAACACCTAATGGGGTCACACTTTAAGCAAATTTTTTTATTTCTCCTTGACATAAGGACAACAATATGGTGACAGGAGTAAAGTAGACAAAATGGGAATAATCCATGGTATTGTTTCTAATCAATTTATTTATTTATTTTTTTTTCAGTTTTCTTACCATTGACTGGTAGCTTAGCTTGGGAGTGTTTCACCTTGTCATTGAAAACAATTCAGTACACAACAGTTTACTTTTGGTACTTTAGTAGCAAATAGTTGCAGCAATGTCATGTGACCCTTTTAATTTAAATGGGATAAAAACCAAGACAGCTGATCCAATCCCGGGTATGCCCCAGAGTGCACTGCGGTAAACAAATGGTGACATGGTTATAAGATAGGTCTATTGCTGTTGAGAAACTTAGTTGGCAAAGAAGGGTGTTGATTTATCTTGGTGATTTAATGTGTGATTGAGATGACCTATAAATCTAAGGGCAGAAATTGTAACTTTGGTTTCAAGATGGTCATCAATGAGAGTGGAGGACGGAGACTGGTGACAACACAACAGCAGTGTCAATAAGTTACTTCTTGGGTTCGTGCTGCTGGGACTGATTGTGAGCCTGGCCAGTGCCACCAGGTTGAGCAAACAGCATTTGAGCCTGTTGGTGGGACAACTGGTAGGGCACAGCCATCCCTTGAGTGTTCACGCCCTGAACACTCATCTGGAGGGGAAAAGGTACAGTATTAGTAAACTACAATTTTAAATTATACATAAAAATCCTTATCAGTATGTTAAGGAGTGCCCATATGAAGAATCAGAAAAGAAATTTAAACTGTATGGAATGTTGTTAGGCTGCTCAGTAGTGGAGTGCAAATCTTGTTTGCTGCCACCTTTATCACCTTGGTCTATGTTCCTTGCCCTCCACGCCCATCCCTCTACATGTCAACACCCTCCACTTCCAACCCTGCACCTTCATGTCATGGGAAATATTGGATTGATGTTGAGGTATACTACAGAAGCAGCTAATTTAAATTTTTCCCCTGTACAGTGTGGAGGAGATTGAAGAACTTATGGCTGAAGGTCAACAGGAGGATGTGTTTGTCCCTCAGCTTCATGCTCAGGAGAAGCTTGGTCAGTAATTAATGGTGCTTTAACTTTCACCACTGAGTAAAGAAGATGAGAAATAGGATGGACACAAGAAGACTTTTTTTTCCTTACATAAAATGTATAGTTATTTCAGCCACGCTTTAGCTTAGATTATTATAGCAAAGTAAATGTTTTAAATTATTAAAATGCCAAAAGTTTATTTGATTAAACTTGGAACTAGATATTTACTATATTAATGGAGATATGTGACTGAAAAGATTTTCATATATATTGGACAACTTTATATACAGTATACAGGTTCTGTACTTTTTAAAAAAGGGATCATATATGATTTGTTGCAAATTCCCTGGAACTTTAATAAATAAATTGCACTGGTTGTTCCCTTCATTCTTTACCCCCATAATTATAGACCCAAATTTGTTGGTAAAATGAAACTTATATATATATATATATATATATATATATATATATATAAGCGAAGTAGATTATCATAGAAAACGGGAAATTTGTATCACAGAAAATGGGAAATATCTACTTTCTGGGAAAGTTGGTTATCTACTTATCACAGAAAACGGGAAATTTGTATCATAGAGAATGGGAAAATATCTACTTTCTGGGAAAGTTGGTTATCTACTTTCCTGAAAAGTAGATTATCTACTTTTCAGGAAAGTAGATGATCGACTTTTTGGGAAATATTACTTAATTTTCTGAAGTAGATTATCATAGAAAACGGGAAATGTGTATTACAGAAAATGGGAAATATCTACTTTCTGGGAAAGTTGGTTATCAACTTATCACAGAAAACGGGAAATTTGTATCATAGAAAATGGGAAAATATCTACTTTCTGGGAAAGTTGGTTATCTACTTTCCTGAAAAGTAGATTATCTACTAAGGAAAGTAGATTATCTCTTTCAAGTAGATTATCGACTTTTGGGGAAATATTACCTAATTATCGAAGTAGATTATCATAGAAAACGAAATTTGAATTACAGAAAATGGGAAATATCTACTTTCTGAAGAAAATTGGTTATCTACTTATCATAGAAAATGGGAAATTTGTAAAATAGAAAATGGGAAAATATCTACTTTCCGGGAAAGTTGGTTATCTACTTTCCCGAAAAGTAGATTATCTACTTTTCAGGGAAAGTAGATTATCGACTTCTGGAAAGCAGATTATCGGGGAAATATTACTTAATTTTCTGAAGTAGATTATCATAGAAAACGGGAAATGTGTATTACAGAAAATGGGAAATATCTACTTTCTGGGAAAGTTGGTTATCAACTTATCACAGAAAACGGGAAATTTGTATCATAGAAAATGGGAAAATATCTACTTTCTGGGAAAGTTGGTTATCTACTTTCCTGAAAAGTAGATTATCTACTTTTCAGGAAAGTAGATGATCGACTTTTTGGGAAATATTACTTAATTTTCTGAAGTAGATTATTATAGAAAACGGGAAATGTGTATTACAGAAAATGGGAAATATCTACTTTCTGGGAAAGTTGGTTATCAACTTATCACAGAAAACGGGAAATTTGTATCATAGAAAATGGGAAAATATCTACTTTCCGGGAAAGTTGGTTATCTACTTTCCTGAAAAGTAGATTATCTACTTTTCGGGAAAGTAGATTATCTACTTTTCGGGAAAGTAGATTATCGACTTTTGGGGAAATATTACCTAATTATCCGAAGTAGATTATCATAGAAAACAGGAAATTTGAATTACAGAAAATGGGAAATATCTACTTTCTGAGAAAGTTGGTTATCTACTTATCATAGAAAATGGGAAATTTGTATCATAGAAAATGGGAAAATATCTACTTTCCGGGAAAGTTGGTTATCTACTTTCCCCAAAAGTAGATTATCTACTTTTCAGGAAAGTAGATTATCGACTTCTGGAAAGCAGATTATCGACTTTTGGGGAAATATTACCTAATTGTCCGAAGTAGATTATCATAGAAAACAGGAAATTTGAATTACAGAAAATGGGAAATATCTACTTTCTGGAAAAGTTGGTTATCTACTTTTCATAGAAAATGGGAAATTTGTATCATAGAAAATGGGAAAATATCTACTTTCCGGGAAAGTTGGTTATCTACTTTCCCGAAAAGTAGATTATCTACTTTCCCGAAAAGTAGGTTATCTACTTTTCTGGAAAGTAGATTGTCGACTTTTCAGGAAAGTAGATTATCGACTTTTGGGAAATATTACCTAATTTTCTGAAGTAGATTATCATAGAAAACGGGAAATTTGTCTTACAGAAAATGGGAAATATCTACTTTCTGGAAAAGTTGGTTATCTACTTATCATAGAAAATGGGAAATTTGTATCATAGAAAATGGAAAAATATCTACTTTCCGGGAAAGTTGGTTATCTACTTTCCCGAAAAGTAGATTATCTACTTTTCAGGGAAGTAGTGTGGGGAACAGGTTGTTTGGTTCACACTCAGGATGGAATGGAGAAAGGAAACTCACAATGTGCTCTCTGTATACATGTTGTATTGGATGTACAATGCAGCTTGGTGCTGGGAAGGCAGCATGGTTACAAGCGTGATGTAGAGAGAGCTGGTTGGTGAGGGTGCTCAGAGAAGGACAGCTTGTGGGTCGCCATGCTCGCCAGCGGGAGCGAGGACCGCCAGGCAGGCGGAGGAGGTGTTGCTGGCTGGTTGGTGTAGGTAGAAAGAGAGATCACCACGAGGTCAGGTCTTAAATAGCAGGGGTAGGCGTGGCTTAGTAGTTGACCCCCGCTCCGTGGGCGGCGCTGGTTGACCTAGACCACTAGGCATACACTGGGGAATTCGTGGGGTCGGCTACTCAGGGACAAACAGCGTTGGGGAGAAATCCACTACAGTAGATTGTCGACTTTTCGGGAAAGTAGATTATCGACTAATTGGGAAATATTACCTAATTTTCTGATGTAGATTATCATAGAAAGCGGGAAATTTGTATCAATATGGGAAATATCTACTTTCTCGGAAAGTTGGTTATTCATTTAGAAAACGGAAAATTTGTATCATAGAAAATGGGAAATATCTACTTTCAGGGAAAATTGGTTAGGTAATATTTCCCCAAAAGTCGATAATTACTTCGCGAAAAGTTTAATCTATTTTCCTGAAAAGTAGATAATCTACTTTTTGGGAAAGTAGATAACCAACTTTCCCAGAAAGTAGATATTTCCCATTTTCTGTGATAAAAATTTCCCGTTTTCTATGATAATCTAATTCGCAAAATTGGGTAATATTTCCCCAAAAGTCGATAATCTACTTCCCTGAAAAGTCGATAATCTACTTTCCTGTAAAGTAGATAATCTACTTTTCGGGAAAGTAGATAACCAACTTTCCCGGAAAGTAGATATTTTCCCATTTTCTATGATACAAATTTCCCGTTTTCTATGATAAGTAGATAACCAACTTTCCCAGAAAGTAGATATTTCCCATTTTCTGTGATAAAAATTTCCCGTTTTCTATGATAATCTACTTCGCACAATTAGGTAATATTTCCCCAAAAGTCGATAATATACTTCCCTGAAAAGTCGATAATCTACTTTCCTGAAAAGAAAATAATCTACTTTTGGGGAAAGTAGATAACCAACTTTCCCGGAAAGTAGATATTTTCCCATTTTCTATGATACAAATTTCCCGTTTTCTGTGATAAGTAGATAACCAACTTTCCCAGAAAGTAGATATTTCCCATTTTCTGTAATACACATTTCCCGTTTTCTATGATAATCTACTTCAGAAAATTAGGTGATATTTCCCAAAAAGTATGATGACCAACTTTCCCGGGAAGTAGATATTTTCCCATTTTCTATGATACAAATTTCCCATTTTCTATGATAAGTAGATAACCAATTTTCCCAGAAAGTAGATATTTCCCATTTTGTGATACAAATTTCCCATTTTCTATGATAACCAACTTTCCCAGAAAGTAGATATTTTCCATTTTATGTGATAAAAATTTCCCGTTTTCTATGATAAGTAGATAACCAACTTTCCCAGAATGTAGATATTTCCCATTTTCTGTGATAAAAATTTCCCGTTTTCTATGATAATCTACTTCGCAAAATTAGGTAATATTTCCGCAAAATTAGGTAATATTTCCCCAAAAGTCGATAATCTACTTTCCTGAAAAGTAGATAATCTACTTTTCGGGAAAGTAGATAACCAACTTTCCCGGAAAGTAGATATTTTCCCATTTTCTATGATACATATTTCCCGTTTTCTGTGATAATCTACTTCAGAAAATAGGTAGCTATTCCAAAAAGTCGATAATCTATCAGCAATGTAGATAATCTACTTTTCAGGAAAGTACAACCAACTTTCTCAGAAAGTAGATATTTCCCATTTTCTAGGATAAGTAGAGAACCAACTTTCCCAGAAAGTAGATATTTCCCATTTTCTGTGATAAAAATTTCCCGTTTTCTATGATAATCTACTTCGCAAAATTAGGTAATATTTCCCCAAAAGTTGATAATCTACTTCCCTGAAAAGTCGATAATCTGCTTTCCTGAAAAGTAGATAATCTACTTTTCGGGAAAGTAGATAACCAACTTTCCCGGAAAGTAGATATTTTCCCATTATTTATGATACAAATTTTCCGTTTTCTATGATAAG